TGCATTTGCAGTAAGGATTTGGGAGTGTGAAAAGAGAATCATTGAAGTTATGTTCAATTGATCTAGTTCACAAAGTAAAGATCATAGACAAACATAGTATGCATACTTGGTGTATGGCATGACTAGTGTTTAGAAAAACATAGTGTACATGCTTGGAGCATGGGACAACTATTGTTTTAAATTCAAGAATAATGTTGATAGCTGAAACAGTATACAATGAATAATGTGTAATCATATGGTGATAAATAAAAAGTGTTTTATTTATATTCATAAGTTCTGAGACCATATTGGATTCAATTATTATTGTGTTTCACTTTGCATGTTTTGACTTCCCGAATAAACTAGGTTATTCTTCCGGAATGACTAAGTTATTCAAACCATCCACAGTCGGTCATATGTTGGAAGTAGATATGAATTAAGACTGTCATGGGTTGGCTTGTAGAGGTCTAAGATGTTGGACAAATGGCTACAACACTCATGAGTGCTCATAAGTTCTGAGTATTGGATTCAACCCGCGCTCATTGGAATCACTTCATGGATTTTATCACGAGTGATCATGAGACGATAATATCTTATATTCTTCAAACCTAGAGATATGAGTTGTTACTATGAGTTGATAGTACATTGATTACACGAAACGCATTGGTAACTCGATGTTATAAAACGTGTCTTTGTGTATGATTCAACAAGTAGTAGAACAAGCCATATGAGTCGAAGTTTATCCATTCCTTTTACCTTCGGGATGAAAGCGATATCTGTGGGCCCCTCGATGATTTGATGATGACAAATGGAAGTGCTCGGCCGGGCCAGGACTGATTTGATTTGTTCAATTAGTCAGTCGTCATAAATCGGAAATCGGGAAACAACTAATGGACAGAGAGAATGATTATAATCCATGTCTCAGTCCATATGATATCTAGAATGGAGGAATATATGATCCCTTATCTAATGGACAAGTCATTGACTAGATCAGAGTTCATCTACAAGGTCAGAGTTCGACAGAAGCTTTTGAGAGCTACGATTGCCAGTTGGTTCCTGAAGTCATACGCAATAATAGTTTTAGACTTATCCAAGTGGGAGACTGTTGGATTAATGTCTAAGTCCATAACTATAATTGGTAAGACTTGACCCGACCCGGCATGGTCCATTTGGGTTGCATGGCATCATGCACTTGGATAGACTAAAATGAGAGAAATAACACTTAAGGTTTGTTAATATATTATAAGTTCTAATATATTAATAAGGTTATTTAATTAGTATTGATCAAGAATTAATTTGGAATTAATTAAGTGATCAAAAGGAAACTAATTAAATATATGGGTTGATTGTGTAAATCATTCATTCTTATATATGTGGGCTTGTGATCCAAGAGTCCTTATGTTGGACTAAGTCCATGGGGTGACCCATGGATACTCCATGGAGGTTAAAATCCATGGACCATAAGGAATGGGTAAAGTCATGAGTTACATGGTGTAACCCTAATAGCCACCATTTAAAAGAAACCCATGGCTAAAGAAATCGACATTGTGTGTGTGTATGAGGGCTAGACGATTTCATGAAGTGTTCTAATTTCTCTCTAAGTTATTCCAAGTGCTTATGGTGTTGTGTGAACCATTTGAGGTGTCACACTTGGGGCACTAGGCACTCAAGCTTCATGAAGACAAGCACTATCAAAGAGGTATGTATTCTATCTTGTTATATTAATAGTCTTGTATGCTAGATTAGGATAATACCTTGGATGTTCATATTTGCATGTATAATAGAGAAAACATAGATCCAAGGTATTTAGGTTGCATGTACACTTAGGAGTGTTAGAATGCTCATAACCCAACACCAACCTCACCTGCTGGATGACAGATCACAAACTGTCAATATCAAAACATCACCCAATTAATAATTGGATTCCAACACATAACCATAAATACATTCTTGGTGTAAATGCTACTTTACTCCTAACTCAACGTTATTCAAGCCCAAGGCCCAATCCAAATGCCCAAAATTCAATTATGAGTCAAAGCCCAACATATGGCCCAATTTTCTAAATCGGGCCCAAACCTTAACAAGGTCTTACCATAAGGCCCAACCATTTATTCCAGTCCAACCTTTAACAGTCTAATGGTCCAATATCATATAATCTTTAAGGCCCAACTATGGCTCATTTATGGCCCAATTTTCCAAATTAGGCCCAACTCCTCATATAAGCCTTACCTCAAAGCCCATTAATTATTCTAGTCCATTTCCTTGATCTTGGATGGCCCATTAATAACCCAATCATCAAGGCCCAACAATAAACCCGAGTGAAATTAGGGTTTTCACATAAAATGACAACTAGGGTTAAGTGTTTCTCACTTAATCCATTAAGGACTTAATCTATTAAGTCCATCATTCATCTAAATAAGTTATATGGTGTAATTAGGCTTACTCACACCATTCCATTCCAATGGCCGAAAAGTGCGTCTCAATAAGTCCAAGCCCATAAATCCAATATTAGGGTTTTCTAAACCCTAATTAGGGTTTCCAACCCCATCTTAGCCCAATAGGCCCAATTGATATGTCTTTTGATTAATTAAGGTTCATTAGGCTCATTAAGGTTTCACTTGTCCCATTAGTCATCCATTTGGGCCTTTAGGCCCATTAAGATTTATTGGGCCAATTACGGTTTATTAAGCCCATTAAGCCTCTTCAGGCCCATTAGGGTTTCTTAGTCCCATTGTCTAACCATCCAAACGAGTCAAAACACCATTAAAGCACACCACCACCCAACACGACGGTCGGTGGTGGTAGGAGGCGGCAGCCACCACCTCATGGTGGTGGTTTTTAGTTTTCCTTTCATTATTAAAATCTGTAATTACACTGTACAAAGCTAAATCTCAAATAAACACACACACACACATACACACGGTGGTGCATGGTGGTAGCCACCACCTCACGGTGGTGGTGGCGGTTCTTAATTTTTCCAGGCAAACAAACTACACACACAAACAAACCACAACAAAAACAAACACCCACATGGTTTCTTGTTTGCAAACGGATCCAGCCACCCTCCTGGTGGCAGTTAGCAACGGCAGCAGCCACCATGGGGCTTCCATGGTGGTTCTTCACAGCTTTACTCGACAGAAACACACACATCGCACACCAACAGTGGAAAATACAACCACACATACATGCTCTGGTCCACAATTTACCTTTTTAAACCCCTAACTCTCAAATATGACATATTCAACTTTCTTGTATTGTTTTCTTCCAAATTAGGTCCCAATAATTACCACGGAGCCCCTGCCTTCATAAATATTTACAAAATAAGTCTCGAATTTATACTTTAGCCCACGAATAATCCTAATAATAACTTTTGGCTCCCGTAACCAACACCTAGCTATATAAATATTGATTTTAGGGCTACGACTCATTCGTTAATTTATTTATTCATTTAATAAATAAATGGGGTGTTACAACTCTCCCCGACATAAATTATATTTCGTCCTCTAAATCATTCCTTACTCGCTCACCCACTCAAGTAACATGGTAACCATCCTTGGCATACCTTAGCCTTCCCAGGGTAGTCGTGACCAACCTTCGTAAAGCCCTAAAATCCACAGGTGAACGAATTCCCCGCGACAAGACCATATCTACTCCGTCTGAAATCTATTGTCTCAAGATGGCCAGAATCCCTGGTAGACCACCCATACTGAATCATCATTGTTGAACCCAATCCACTTATCCCTCAACTAACTACTCAGCTTCTAATAACTCGAGGTTCCCACTGGAAAACAGAGTTACAGACCCCATTACCCTTGTAGCTCACTTATACTCGGCCAAGGCTCAGCTAATCCCGTTGTGAGTGACTTGCCACTTCCCAATGAACCAGCTATTCCGTCCGTATCTACAACCTAAAACACAAATATTAACACTGCCCAAACGCAAAAACTGTCCAAACACTGAACTGCCTGAAGCAGTATGTTGCCACACGGCTGCTTTCAAGAATCTACTGAGACTTGATTGGTCTCAGTTTGTTTGTCAGTCCTCTGAAATACTGGGTTCCGGACCGGCTGCGAAGCTAAAGGACTCCCACTTAGTTGCCTCACATGACTTCTGAACAAAATCCTTCTCTAGAACTAGTAGCAACTAGTTATCATGCCATTGTGACTCTAAAAACTTTCTGATCTAACCGATCGGTTCCATGCATCGAATCCTGACCACTACAAGAAAAAGACCCTTTTACGATGCGCAAAACATGACGCTCTTTGATTTATGTTACTCATTAGAGAGCGACATTAAAAAAGTGTCATCTCTTCAAAAGATTTAAGGATTTAGGTCACGCATTACTGAGTGCCCTTAAATTAGTGTCTCATGTAAAAATATTAAAAACACGGAAGGCACTTGTGCATCGTCTATGAATGTCATTTTATATTTTTTTTTTAAAAACGCGCGTCTCGGAGGGAAAATGAAATCCCCAAATTTTTTAAACACCCACCTTCTTCTCCCTCGTCTCCACCCCTCATTTCCTCTTCTATCTTCAAATTAAGGATCAATTGCTTCACATCATGTTTAAGGTTAAGGGTTTGAGATTTCTTCAAAATCGACCCTCGCACTAAAATTATGGATCAATTTTTTAAACCCCCACCTTCTTCTACCTCGTCTCCACAAACACACCGTCATTGAATCCCTTCGCTTCTTAGGTGCTCCGAATTCTCCATTGCTTCTTCTTCTGACTTTCCTTACACGGTATTGTTCATGGGTTTAGCTTAATCCTTTACTGGGGTCAGCAACCACCTTTATCACCTATTAATTTCATATATATCATTAACCATCTCTTTCGATTCTCCCCACCACTCTAATCTCTAGTTTTTATTTTGTTTCCACCTCCTTCCCTCTTTCAATAACTATTCTTCTTCGTCACCTTCTCTTTTTCTTCTTCTGTGAGGGTTTTCAGAATAACTTTCTTCATCTGTAAATCCAGCCTTGAACCACCAATATTCTCGCCTCCATCGTCGCCAGTGGGAATGATCTACTTAGACGCTGAAAAAGCGAGCAACGAAGGGGAAGATGTGGTGGTGTTCTTGCGTCTGATTGATTTCAGCCCCTTTGCGACCACACATAGTTCCCATCAAAAATTATGTTGCCCTCACCGTCTCTTATATCAAATATCTGTTACACCTCCTTCATCAATTCATCGGTTTTCTTCCCCATCGGCTACGGTTCTACTGTATCGATGCTTTCTCGACGTTCCGGTTACTAACACTGGAGGTAGAAGAGGACGGTGGATTGACGGTACCATACCAAGCGCCTATACAGGTAAACTCCAACTCTCTCTCGATTTCTGCCTTTTTTTCAGTAAAAACCGATTAATTTGAGGTTAGTTAGGGTTTTTTCCTTGCTCCTCAGTCCTCGACTCTTCTCAGCGATATTTGGTGTATCCCCCCCCCCCCCCCCCGACTTTGGTGAACTCTCAAGCAAATTAATTGTCTGAGTGTTGAGTGACTGGAAAAGAATACGTTTTGTAGGCTTCTAAAATGTGCATCTCTATAGATTTGTAAGGTTGATCTTACTCTGATTCTTCATAACCCCTTCCCTAATTATCATTTCTTTATCATACCTTATTACTACATTCATAATTGTTTTGAACAGGTTCTTTCTGATGGATTACTTCAACAACCAGACTTGGTACATTCAGGTACACCATTAATGGTTCATTAACCAAAAAAACACAGATTTATTGTTTTTGATTGTTTATGTGACTCTTTAATTACTTGATAGGATTCTGACAAACAAGGCACTTGAAGCCAACGATGGAAAGCCACTACCTTTATATCAAAAATATTTTTGCAGGCTGACAGCTGGTGCTATCGCAGCCTGTGTAGGAAGCCTTGTTGAGCTGGCACTCATATGTATGCAAGCTGATGCCAACCCAACGTAGTAACTACACAAACCCATTCCATACCCTCTACAGAATCACTGCAGATGAAGGAGTTTTAGCTCTCTGGAAAGGTGTTGGTCCCACTGTGGTTAGGGTAATGGCATTGAACATGGGCATGCTTACTTCCTATGATCAAAGTGTTGAGTTCTTCAAAGACAATCTTGGTTTTCTGAAGCAGCTACCATTGTAGGTAAGATCAAATCACAAAACCATAAAAGCATAAAACTGTAATAAAACTACTATAACATAACTGAATGATTTTTTAATGTTGGGAACGATTTCAGGGGCAACTTCTATATCAAGGTTCTTTGTTGCTGCATGTAGTTTACCCTTTGAATTTGTGAAAAATACAAATATAGAAGGGGCAAGTTCTATATCATGGTTCTTGGTTTTGATTGGTCTATTTTTTTAGTTTCTCCATTTTATGTTTGGGTTCCAACTTCTAGAACACTGGAAAATCGTTTTATGTTTATGTTTTGATTGCTCTATTTAATTTATGTGAATAGACCCCTTATTCTCCGTTTTATGTTTGGCCAAAGTTGTTCAACAGTCGAACCAGTTCATTTTCATTTCTTGCTTATTTTCTATTTTCATAGACCCCTTATTCGTGTACTTATTGTTAGTAAATAAGGTAAAATTGAAATTTGGTATGAAATTATCATTTTCTGTGTTAGGTTATTAATGCAGTGTGAAAACTTGTTGCTTATGCTCATTAGTTATTATTTCACTCTTCTTCAACATAATCTTAGTAAGTGTTTCTTTTAGACTTAATGGTATTAATCCGGACAGATAAAGAAGGGTGTTTTTTGTTTGACTTATTACACTAGAGCAACTCAAACTCTTAAAGCCATTATATTTGACAAAAACGATGGTGGATTTCAGAAGCATAACCGACTTTATATACCTCATGCATATGCTTCTTCAGGTAAATAATCACCCCTTTTTACATTAATATTTTTCAGTTCTCATTCCAATATAATATAATTTTTGTGTGTAATATTTCTTTGAAATTCTTGTTCAGTTCATATAAGCATTCATTTCACCAGAATCAAGAGTTGCAGGTGTTAAAGACTTGGTTGATCATCCTAGAAAGATTGTGTTACATTATCTTTTTAGATTTTTCTTTCTTGACTTATTTATCGTATTACCAGTTCCTCAGGTAACATTCTATTTCAACCATATACATTGCTATTATTTGAACCATATACAATAATAACATTATGTAACTCCATTGGTCAATCTTCTCTACAATCACACATCATCCCATTCTTTACAAGATGAGGTAGCATCAATCATAATGCATCTTGCCATGTTAACCATGTCACAGAATTCTGAAAATACCCTTGTTTCTTTATTCCAATCTGATGAAGATATCAATAGCCTTTTTCTTTTATTCCCTGTACTCTCCCTTTTGTGTAAGAACATTTACTTCATGCTATTTACGCCATGTGTCACTCACCCTTACAGGTGATTACTAAGTACCTAATATAGGTGATTTTTTCTTCATGGCTATAATGATCATAGTTCTTACAGGTGATTTTTCTTTTAGGAACATTAACAATCGGTAAACCTGTTGTCACAAAAATACTCACAAAAACACCCCAAGAATATTCTGAATTGTAGTTATGTTCTAATCTTGTAACTTCTATGTCTAAGTTATAATTGTACAAAGTTTAATATAAACAACTATAATGTTGGCTAAGTTCAACAGAAACATGGTCTAAAAATGATGTTCTGAAGTTAGCTAGTGCTGTTGAATCCAATATAATACATCTAATTGGAAAAGCTATCCAGGAAGCTGCCAAGGCTGCTAAATGTCCCAATGTAACAGTACCTTATAAAAATTACTGTTTTGCCCTTACTGAAATGAAACCACTACTTTTTTCTTTTTATAAATATGATTGATTGATTTGTTAATGGTATGCAGGCTAATGATGGTACATATATGGAGGAACCTGGTTTTGGTGCACTAACTTCAATTAGCAAGAAGATAACTTCTGTTGGGACATTAAATTTTATGCAATGGATTTTTTTTATATGATATTTTATTTTCTATTATGAGACATTAAATACAAATTTAAATTGAAAATTAGTAAATCTACAAATAATATTTTTTTTAAACATTTAAAATTATGATACGCAAAAATGTGTGTCATCTTCATTTATGACATGGCCTTTCTTGACAGAGGCTTTCTTGATACGCATTCTGTGTCATTAACACACGCATCGTAAGGTTACGACACGCGAATGTGTGTCATCTTCCTTTATGACAGGGCCTTCCTTGATAGGCATTGCATGTAGTAACCGCACGTCGTAAATGCACGTCGTCTCTCTTTATGATAGGGCCTTTCTTGACGCGCGATGAGCGTCATAAAAGGCTGTTTTTCTAGTAGTGGACATCACCAAGCCCAAGGCTAAAAGTCATGGCTCTATGACTAACGGTAGCCTTATAACATACACGAACCTAAGCAATACATTACTTCCCTTAGCTCATAAATGTAGTGATGTTCCAACTGTTGTATCGCTGGCTCAACCAAATCTATTCCATTTGGGTAATCCGAAATCTAATATGTGGATTTCCATATCCTCACTGTTACACCCGAAGTTGTGGGTACTACTGTTCCTTCCGCGTCCTAACAACGCAGTCATGCTATCTACCAACCTAGTGAATGCTACGGCTACACCTACAGACATACAACACTCTATCATTATTTGGCTGCTAGTGAATGCTACAGCTACACCTACAGACTTACAACACTCAAATACTATCTAACTGCTAGTGAATGCTACGGCTACACCCGTAGACTTACAACACTTTTTATGCTAACTAACCACTAGTGAATGCTACAGCTACCCCCATAGTCTTACAACACTTTCTAAACCGGGTCGAACACGCACTTAACCTAACACGCCACTGAACTTGAGTCCTAACCAGAACTCAAACCTGGTTCCTAAAACCTACTATCAGGTGACCCCACCGTATCAGTACCATACCCATGCTCATGATCAAAGCGTCACAGTAAACCATGAAATCATCTACACCCTCTGGCAGGGTGAGAATCGGTGCCTCGCACAACCGCTGTTTGAGAGTCTCGAAGGCTGCCTACTGCTCAGGCCCCCAGCGAGAGGCCACCGAATTCTTGCTCAGTCGTGTCAAAGGAACCACATCTCGAAGAAGTCTCATATAAGTCTTCGGTAGTAACCCGCAAGACCCAGGAAACTCTAAATCTCAGATGGAGACCTCAGAATCTCCCACTACATCATGGCCTCTATCTTGGCTGGATCAACTAGAATACCCTTTTGGTTGACAAGTTTCCCAAGAGATTGCACCCCGTGCAACTAGAAATCACATTTGGAGGACTTTATATAAAGTCTCTCCCCTACTTATATTCAACTAAGTCTTCACAGCACATGAAAATTGAAGGATTCCTAATCCTTCTCGCTCTCTAGTATCCTACTGATGACAACCTGTGCTTACCAATGCTAGCGATTAATCACCAGTTAAACCTTAAGATTGGCTAGAGATGGAAATCTTTATGAGTACTCTTGAAATCTGGTCCATTATGACACCTCAATCCATCTACCATGCTATCAAATAAAGGCCTTAATCTTCACTCTGGCTAACGAATCCTTGTTCCCACTTCCATACTTGCAATACCACTGAACTCTAACCGAACATAGTCCATGCGAAAATACAATTCTCTTGAACATCCAATGACTAATCACTTGGGCATCTAACAACCGCAACTGACATGACCTTCTTCATGCTACCGATCTTCCCTAGCAACTATGGTACCTTCAATTTCAATGTTCTTCCAAAGACAGCTAACAACCATACCCAAACAATTATAGAACCACTAAACACTAGCTTCACTGGAGAACTATCGCTCTACTCCTGACCCAATATTCTCTGAATAATACTCCAGCACAGATCCTGACAGAGATCCGTGATAAAAACGGTACACGTGGAATCCACTCCACAAGATACATCCCTTTGTAGGTTCATCAAGGACTTCAGGCATGCAGATTGGCATATGACAATCCTTGATAACTCAGACAGTAGCAGAAACCAACATAATATCCGACTTGTCTAAAATCACTCAAATTCTGAAGCGGTACAGATTTCCCATATCCACTCGAAGTGGAAAATAATGACATACCCACGACCGTCTAACAAAATCCTGATATTCATGACAAGGACCAACTATAGGATCTTCCTTCCCGAAGGATTCTAAGGGTCCATAGTCCTTGGGTTCCAAATGAACCCCTAACTCCCCCTGCAACAAATTGGGTCTGAAAGGCCCGTAGACAACTATCTAAGCTCTCGAATCCCTTCCTTCGCTGAACGAAAGTCCACCAAGGTCCATTCCCAAAACTCCACAAATAATCTTTAATGAGATGTACTTGTGCGATCGCGCATCGACTAGTTCTGAACCTGCTCCTGAGCCGGAACCCAAATCTGAGTTTCGTTCTTGGGTACTTAACACCATACTGAACTGATATTCCAAGGATCCGAATATTCCAAAGAATCCTTGTCACCTTTCACTGACATGACCAACCCTGCTACACTTATAGCAGCCTAAACCCTTGTAGTGACAAACTCCCTTTTACACTTTCCCGTACGTGTTGCACTGACTGCTGCCATGCTGGCCTTTCACCTGATGATCATAAATCATGGGTATCTTCCCTGGACCCTTTACTATATGCACCTAGCATGAACCCCTCTTCTCAAAGTGCTTCGAATCGATCTTGCATCTGCAACCCAGTGGAACTCATACCCTTAAGGGTCTGAAACCCTGCCACTCTCACTAACTCACTTGCCAATGGCTAAGCTGCAACAACGGGAACATCCTCTATCCCCAAACCGAGTCATAAACTCCTCCTTGAAACATAACGTATTCTCCAAGACACTCATCGATTCGAGTATAGACCCTGTGCTTTCAGTAGTACGGACCTAGGACTACCTTTAACACATATCCATACTTTCCTCAGTAATCCTCCTGAATCCTCCAAGTCACCTCCTCAAACTGGTAAATTCAAGTCTAACTGAGCCTCACTACTAACCCACTGAAACATATCCTCGACTTTCCTAGGTTCCCATACTCACTTAGTCCATAACTGCTGAAAGATTCCCAGGTAATGTCAACTAGCTACCTCATGAATATAGCTAGCTCACATTACTAAGAGTCC